TATTACTTGAAGCTTTAGCTAGAGCAGTAAGCCAAATGAAGCTGATCAAGTGGATAAAAATGGAAAAGGAAAATTCAAAATTTCTTTATACTGATGATATGATAGTATAAATAAAAGATCACCAAAATTCCATCAGGGAACTCCTACAGTTGATTAACATTTTCAACAAGGTTTCTGGATACAAGATAACATAAAAAAATCAGTAGCTCTCCTATACAAAAAAAGACAAATAGAGTAAGAAAGAAATCATGGAAACAACACCCTTTATAGTAACTTCAAATAAAGTAAAATATTTTGGAGTTAAATCGAACCAAGCAAGTAAAAGATCTGGATGATTAAAAACTTAAAATTTTTGAAGAAAGAAATTGAAGAAGATATCAGAAGATGGAAAGATCTTCTATGCTCATGAATAGGTAGGATTAACATAGTAAAAATAGCCATTCTATCAAAGCAAGCTAGAGATTAAGTGAAATCCCCTTTAAAATTACAACACAATTCTTTACAGATCTTGGAAGGACAATCCCAAACTTCATACACACACAAACACATTTTGTGTGTGTGTTTGTGAGTGAATGAAGTTCATACATACATGCATACCCAGGATAGCTAAAATTCTCCTGAAAAATAAAATAACTGCTGGGGATCTCACCAATCCTGATTTCAAGTTGTATTACAGAGCAATAGTAATAAAAACCACATGGTATCTACATAAAAACAGATACATTGATCAACTGAATAAAATTAAAGATCCAGACATAAATCCACATCCCTATGGAAATCTGATTTTTGATAAAAAAAAAACACAGTATGGAGAGGGATGAAAGATAGTGTAGAGGAAGAAAATTTGTGCATAGACAGATGAAATTTAAGGGCATTTGATGGATGATATGGAAACCTAGTGCAGTGGAAACTTTCTTAAATATATGAAAATGACCCTAATATAGTCTTCTAATAACAGAGATGTGGAGTCTCAACTGGTCATCTCTTGTCAAAAAACAAGCTTCCAGTAGTGGCACTGGGTTGTATTCCATTGAGTTGTTGACTAAAGGGTTTCCATGGAAATCCCCAAACAACCTAGGCTGTTGCTTAAGAAAATGGATTGCCCTTTGCAAATTGAGAGTGGGACCCCATGGCCAGACAACATCCACAAACTCATTGATCATGGAGAAGTCAAGCTAGTGCCTACATAAAGCCTTTACTTCTAGATTCTAGTGCCTTTGGTTGTAGAAGTTACTCTGCAGGGTAACAAAAATATAAACACTACCTTGGTCCCAAAACTCTTGACCTACAATCCTTCCTGTCTATATTGCTCTAGGGCAATAGTGGCATAGAATTTGTGGGTATAGCTAAACAATGTCTGATTTGATCTAAGTTCCTCTCTATGAGAAGGAACCCACATCCAACACTGCTTGAGTAACAAAGAACTAGAGACTAAATAGCCCACAGATCTATGGTAAAACCAAACACTACAGGTAAAAGATGAAAGAAAGAAAGAAAGAAAGAAAGAAAGAAGGAAAGAAAGAAATCATATTTCTAATGATATTCTGTTATACTTATAGACCAATACTTTATCCAGTCATCATCCCATCTCTGTCAGCAGATGGGAATATATGAAGAGACTCACAGTCAGATATTAGTTGGAGAGTCTAAATTTGAGCTCTCCACAAACCCTTCCCCACAGAGCCCAGGGAATCACATAGAAGGGGAGGTGGAAAGAATATAAGAACCAGAGGGGATAAAAGGACACCAGGAGAATAAGTCCCTCTCTATCAATTAAGCAAGGCTCTTACGAGTTCTCAGACACTGAAAGATTGACTCCAGGTCCTCTGTGTATGTATTATAGCTATTAGTTTGCATTTTTAGTGGTAATCTTGACTGTGAGAACGAGTGAGTCTGTGACTCTTGTGCATGTTCTTGGGATTTCTATCTTCCATTCAGGCTATTATCTCCAACTTTCATATAATAGTTTTCTCCTCATCTTAAGTATAATTTGTAACATTCAGTTATTATCTTTTAAAAGATGTTTCTTTTCTAATGAAAGACAGAAAGAGAGTGGATCTGGGAGTGAGGGGAGCTGGGGAGAATTAGGAGCAGTAGAGAGAAGGCTATAATCCTAATATATTGTATGAGAAAATAATCTATCTTTAAAGGGAAAATATAATATTATTTAAAATATTACTTACTTTTAAAAGTAGAGTGTTTCAAAGGTTGAACACAGACTAAAAAGTAAAATATTTGCTACTTATCTCTTTTTGTCCATGTTTAAAAGAATAATTTCAGGATTATATGATGTGGAATTTCCCTCTGTATTCTGTGAATACCATTGATTAATAAAGAAACTGTCTTGGCCTGTGATGGTGCAAAAGAATAGAACTAGGCAGGGAAAACTAAACTGAATTCTGGAAGAAAGAAGGCAGAGTCAGAGAGAAGCCATGGGTCTGCCACTGGAGATAGACACACTGAAACTTTGCTGGTTGGCCATGACCTTGTGGTGATACACAGATTAATAGAAATGGGTTAAATTAAGATGTAAAAGCTAGACAATAAGAAGTTAGAGCTAATAGACCAAGCAGTGATTTAATTAATACAGTTTCTATATGGTCATTTTGGGAGTCTGGGTGTCTGGGAAACAAACAAGTGGCCTCTTTAGTACTAACTGGCACACCAATGTGATCAACTATATCCACATAAAACCTGAGAAAGTTTTTGAAAAGGAACTCTAGACACAAAAGAAACCCAAAGTTTAGCCACATTTTTTTTTCAGGAATGGGCTTTGCTTACTGGTGGCATGCTGTGGCTCCTTTAAGAAAGGTCTTCCCGATTCAGCAGCAGTGGGGAAAAAAAGCAGTACCATTTTTAAAAGGCTGCTTCCTGGGCCGTGCTACCAGTACAAACTCTGCTAAAGTCCAGCTATGGAGTATTTAAATGGCCTTGTAAGCAGAATACTACAACTTATGACAACATAGGCCCTCTTTTGTGCCTGAAAATGGGACAATGTGCATGGCTCTCAGAAGCAGCAAACATGACTCCACAATTTTGGACTGTGTGGAGCAAGAAGTCAGGACTGTAGAGTTTTTCTTAGCCATACCCACTTAGCATTAAAAAAAAGTGGTCCTGGTCAAAGGATAATTACAGATATGCAATAAAGACAAATACCTCTAAATGGGTCATGGTGTTGGATAAATGTACGTAGGCTTCGGAGAAGAGTAAAGAGACAGTAAATGTAATAAAGGAGTAATGAAAATAAATATTAAAAAGTAATAGAGTAAAAACAAATAAGCCACATAAAGATTGAATGTATACAGAGAGTCTGGATTATATATAATATTGTGTTTCTTTAAATTTTTTGACTGTGAAGGAGCTAAGTAATCAATGAATATACTTTAAAGGTATCATGTCTTCAGAATATGGGTCTAAGGAATTGTTGCTTTGGAAAAGAGGTTCTTCTTTTGCTTCCACAGAAGATAGGATAAGAACCTGTAGAATCCTTCTAGGCTATTGTTGTTTTATGGACCAAGAAGAACCTAAAGGTTGCCATGAACACCCCCAAATATTACTTCGTCCAACAAAAGGCAGGAAACAGTTTGGAGAGAACTATGCTCATATTCCCAAATATTGTTTATAAATGTTTGTTTGTATTTAAAGGGGAATATGCTATAGAGATGAATAATTTGCATTGGTATGGGTCTTTTTTATTGATACAAATTTAAAGTCTTTTCTGTTATATGCATATTCTGCTCTTGATTAAAGTACTATGTTTTTGCAGTTTTTTTTAAAAAATGTAATGTATAATTAATAAATATAGGATAATCATCTATAATAGTCAAGCTTGTAGTCATGTTAGTAAGGTTTCTACATATGGAGAGCTATATTTCAGATAGATAGGTATTTTTTCAAATATTTCGCAGACCTTCAGAATATGACATTTAAATGTTTTAAGAACTTAGGACTTTTCATGACAATGAGACACATCTGCTCCTGGCAGCACAAATTACTTCAAGAGGAAGATGGGTATAAGAGACTCCTTATGAAGTTTGTTAGCCATTTGAGCAAGATACTGCTCTTTCCTGGACTGTTTGATGGTATGCTGAGTGAACTGGACATACAGGACCCACAGAGAAATGACTGCTGAACTTGCCTATAGGTAAGATGATCCTTCAGGGTTTCTGTTTCATGAAAGAGTCTGTAAGACATTCTGCAGGACATAGAAGAAAGTGAATGACAAATTGCCAATATGGGTGAAACTGCCTTTGAGATTTTCTGCTTCATGGAAAAGCCTGCTGGATACTATGCCCTATAGGCTGAAGGTTGGATACCCCAACAGTATAGAAGACTTTGGGTGACTGTCCAGACAGCAAGATGTCTCTGTCAATTCTAGGGTTTTGGAAGTTGCTTATAATGTACTTCCTGTTTACTTAGATAATATTATATCCTTCTAGAGTCTTTGATGGAGTTGAAAAATAGATTAGTTTTCTTTAGTCATTAAAAAAGATAAAATAGATATAAATATTTTAACTATAATTCTTGCTTGAAAACTGCTTTGTTATTTGTAATTTCACTATGTTAAAGTTAAAACCTTCCTTTTTATTTAAACAGAAAAAAGGAGGTAATGTGAGATTCCCCTCTGTATGCTGTAAATACCATTGGTTAATAAAGAATTTGTTTGGCCTGTAGTAAAATAGAGCTAAGTGGGGAAAACTAAACTAAATTCAGGAAAAAAAGAAGGCAGAGTCAGAGAAAATCCATGGAGCCACTGCTGGAGACAGACACACTGAGACTTTGCTGGTAGGCCACACCCTCTCAGTGACGCACAGATTAAAGGAAATGGGTTAAATTAAGATGTAAAAGCTATCCAATAAGAAATTAGAGCTAATAGGCCAAGCAGTGATTTAATTAATACAGTTTCTCTGTGGTTATTTGGGAGTCTGGGCAGATGGGAAACAAAGATGTGACCCCCCCCCACAACAATTATGGGGATTCAATATGTAAAAACAACTTACAGGTACATCTTGGATAAGGGATCCAGCCAGTACTTGTACACTTTACAACAGTTTCCAGGGTTGCAGGAGAGAAGCCATTTTTACATGTATATTTGATTTCATCACCAGCTCTGTGTTTAATCCTGTAAGGTGAGTAGTCACCATTTTCAATATAAAGAGGATGGCATATCTTTTCTGAAAAGAAACATATACAAATAATGAGGAATAATTTTTTAAATTTTTTTCGAGACAGGGTTTCTCTGTGTACCAGCCCTAGCTGTTCTAGAACTAGTTCTTGTATACCAGGCTGGCCTCGAATTCACAGAGATCTGTCTACCTCTGCCTTCTGAGAACTGGGACTCCAAGCTAGAGGAATATTTAATTCTCACTAAACTGAAGAATATGAGCATTAAATGGCAGATACTATGTACTTGCACTGATAAATGTAAAAATGACATTGAAATAAGCACATCCGCATATGCTTCACATATTAGTATGGCTTCTTCTCTCTCCTCCTGATGTATTTATGCCTCTCTGATAATAATTCTTCTCTCTTGAAACCATCACATATAGTGCTTCCTGATTCCATAACCAGCAATAACTTCATCATATATAATGTTAGTAGTGTCTTCTATTTTCTGTTTCTTTGATTGTCATTGTTGGCTTCAGACTCTCATTTGGCTTATTTATTAATATTAACAAGCTCTTGTTTCTGTATTGTTGTGATGATTTCTAAGCCCTTCCTCATTGAAGTAAATGCATCTTCTGACTTACATGGAACAACTTACTGAATTTGGAAGCTATATCTTTCAGTTTGCAGAAAAATATAGTTAGAAATTGTTCTGAAACCCCTGGTCCGGTTACAATCAGCTGGAAGGAAGTTAATATATTATCTTGTTTGAATTTTGATTGCTTATGGATTCCAAGCTTTTTGTGAATTTAGCTGTGACAAAGTGTGTTTTCAGCTACGTGATGTCAGGGAGATTGGGGTCCATTCATTCATCAAAATGAAGCACATTGTAAGAGATTTGTGTGTCTATATGAGTTACTGCAGGTCTCTATATTTATATCATCAAACTGCTATTTACTGTCTTGTGAGAGTACCCTCTGTTAACTCTCTCCTTAATGAAAACGACCTTCAATAACACAGATTTAAACATTTAATATTTGACTTGTACTTGTGTTTGAGAAATGTTTGAAAAGAAAATTAAATGAAAAGTCTCCCCTTCCTTTCCTTCCCAGTCTCCCTTTCAAAAGAAGCAAACCTAGGATGTGCAAAAGCACGCTTGGGGAACCATACATAGTTCTCAGATTAAAAATAAACAAATGCCAAGGAAGAGTCTTTAATTAAGTGGTTAAGTGGCCAAGAAAAATATGAAATATTAGGCTTCAGTGAAATAGTCATGGCACACCAAATAACACACACATATATATATACATATATATGTATATATATATGTATATATATATATATATATATATCTCAATCAGAATTGAATTCTTTATGTCTTTTTTTTTCCTAGACAGAGTTTCTCTGTAACTTTAGAGTTTGTCCTTGAACTAACTCTGGAATACCAGACTGGCCACAGCTCACAGAGATCGCCCTGTCTCTGCCTCCTGAGCGCTGGGATTAAAGTTGTGCGCCACCACCCTGGGCTCTAATTCTTCATGTCTTGCACTAAATTCACTGGAGGCTGAAATACTTGTTTGAAAAGTTCTTAAGTGCAAGATAACAACTTAATATAAAATAACACTTTATGGGTTATATTTTGATCTTTTAGTGGATAAATGGTCCATTTACGAGGACACCTAGAATTAAACGTATGGAAACGGTTTAATGCCAGAGGACTACGGCAGATACTGCTTCTCTGATTAGAAACCATAAACACCGTGAAAACAAACGGTTAGACTCAATGCTATCAGCTGAACATTGATCTGTGTGATCATCTGTTGTGGAATATTCTTTTACATTGTGTGAGAATGTGTCAATGTGATTAGTTTAATAAAGAACTGAATAGCCATTAGGTAGGCAGAAAGAGATTGGGTGGGACTTCTTGGAACAGAGAGAAATTGGAGAGGAAGAAAATAGTTGCCAGCGGAGTAAGAGAGAACAGACAAGCAGGAGGAATGTAAAAGCCATGAATCACACGGCAAAATGTATATAAATAGAAATGGGTTGTTATAAGAGCTAACGGAACAAGACTAAGCTATAGACCGAGTTTCATAATCAATAATAAGTCTCGATGTCAATTTCTTTGTGTGTGAGCTGGCAGTTCAAAGAAAAGTCTGACTACAACCATCATTTTTTTCCACTCACTGGGAAACTTCTTAAATAAAATAAAATAAAAGACGTAGAAAATAACAGTAACTTTACCTTCACAGAAAGGCTGAGGACTCCATCCAGAAGCTGTGCAGATGGCATCCCCTCTTTCTCTGTACACAAAACCTTGATGACATTGATACTGAAACCTTTCATTCTGCTTGTAAGATAGTTTCTGAGATAGAGCTACTCCGTTTTCAACTTCTGGTGCTGTGCAGGAAATTTCTAAATACAAGAGAGTAATTGTATCATGTTTCCTGTGAAAGTAACTCTGCTGGGCAAGTCATATTTTCACAATGACAGTGTTTTGTTTCCATTAGGCCAGTCAATCAAAACCAACCAACCAAGCAACAATTGTTTTGACCTGACAGTTTTCCTAATTGTGTATCTGCTGTTTAAAATATTAATTTTTCAAAGTTAAAAGTATAATTAATTGTTTCTAGCATTATGTAAATTAGCCTCTTGAAATAAATGGCCATCTGTAACATCCCTCAGGTTCTTGTTAAAATGAAAACAGACACAGCCTTGCAGGTTAATATTTTCATTGTATAATCTACAAAATAACAAATCCTATGATTATCCACAGTAATTTTCAGGACTGCACTTTTTTGAAAAAAAATCTATTAAAGTCACATTTCATTTGATCTTTGAAAAGTCATGGGCTTCTGTTTTGCTGTCTTCACCATGCATACTATTCCCACCTCCCCCCCCCCCCAAAAAAAAAAAATTAAGGACAGAAACCTAGAAAAGTTCTGGCCACCACCAATTTTAACACACTTCTCTTAAAATATACCACTCCAACTCTGAGGTACTGGCAACTGGTCTCTCAAAGCCTTTTCCCCATCTGTTTATTTCATTTTTTCTTGTTTATAACTAAATAAACTTTCAAATGGTCACTTTGAAATGTTTCATCCTTTCCCAAATCAATGAGTTATTTAAGACTTGTGTAAATAGTAACTGTACTGGCTTATGCTCATTCTCTTACTGACTGCTCTCCTCTGTTCAACTTTTGAGTAGCAACTTCCTCTAAGATAAAACATTCTGCTTAGGAGGGAAACCCCTACTCAGTGGTTCTCGGCCTTCGTAATGTTGCAACATTTTAATACAGTTCCTCACGTTAAGGTGACCACCAACCATAAAATTATTGTTGTTTCTACTTCATAACTGTAGTTTTGTGACTTGTGAATTGTAATGTTAATATCTGATCTGCAGGTGGTCTTAAGTGATTTCTGTGAAGGGGCCATTTGACCCCCAAATGGGGTTATGACCCACAGGTTGAGAACCATTGTTCTAAAGGGAGCATCCCATCGTCCAAGAAAGTTCATTAAGCTCGGGAAGCAAACAATTTAGTTATTTATTTTTATGAAAGCAAACAATTTAAATGCTTCAGAAAGTCTTTGAAATTGAGCACATTGATTAGGACCCCACTTCCCCATGCATGCAGAAGCAGCAATGACTGCTGTAAGTGCTTTTGGGTCAGATGAGCTTCCGAGAAGAGAAAAGCCTCAGATCACTGTGCATTATGCTCCAGCTTTGCAGCTTTTGTGAGCCTGCACTCATGCTGGGGCAGGCTTTAGGTGATGCCGCTTATCTTTGAGTCACTTTTCCCCCTGGAGCTATAGTAAACTCTTAAGTTCACAAGGCAGACTTTGGTGGTAGATCTGTCGTCAGTTTCCTATCTGAAGTAAACAGATGTTTGTTCTAATTTCCTCAGTAATGGAGTTATACAGCAACATCCTGTGGTGGGGCTTCTGTAGCAGGTGATGAGGCTCAGGACATCACTGTGTCTTAGACACCTTGCTGTCTTTCCACCTTTGCCCCATGGCCTTCTGCGATCTGCTATCCTTGCTCTTTTTCACATCTGAAAATACCTTGCTCTTTCTTGAAAACTAATCTTAAGGATCAAAATTTCCTAGGATATCACTTCTTAACAACATCAATTAAAATTGAAATTAATGTCTTAAAAATTAAAACCTGCAACAAATATATAACTCTTTCTAATAATATTAATTAAAATTAGAATGCCATCATGGAGCATGATCAGAAACATATAGCAAACCACTGGATTCCAAAACCTTTGTAAAATTCTGCTCTGGAAGTCAATTTTACAACTCAGAACAGAATGCTGAGTTAGACTGTGAAACCTTAACCAAGTCATGAAGCTACAGAAGAAATAAATAAATAAACAAACAAACAATAAAATTTCAGTCTACTATAGAGAAACAGATTAATAAGCATCAGAGTGAAGCAATTCTGTTTTAAATAAAAACATACTTAAGAAGACATGAACATTTTTCCTAAGAATAGATAAAAAGTATTCAAATACCAAGCAGATAAGTATGTATATCTTACCCACACATCTGGGCTTCTCATTGCTCCATAGGCCATTATCTGAACAGTGCATTTCCTTCTGTCCTTCAACTTTGAAGCCTGCATTGCATTCAAAGCGCACCACATGTCCAAAGGAATATTCCTGGTCTGGTTCCAATGCACCACTCACAATTCTTCCGTTCTCCGGGTCTGTCACTGGCAAGCACTTAACAACTGAAAATACAGGTGCCATTTTTACTGACAGAACTGAAAGCTTCTACATGAAACATGTGTATATGAACAAAAACACCAGTAAGACAAACCTGGAGGAAATTACTTAAATGTTTTAGAAATATTTATGATTGTTTGGAAGAGATAAAGATCATTTAACATAAGGAGTTTGGTTATCAGTTTCTGTTGGAATGGGAAGAGAAAACTGTAACTTCAAATGATAATTTGAATTTCCATGATAGCAAAAGTCTCCTTATATGAGCTCTGGAACAACCACACACAGATGTTTTATTGATGCTTCAGAAATTAGAAATGCTGCAGAGCATTCTAATAAGATGCAAAAGCAATGAATTTTAAGGTATTTCTTCTGATGGAGAAATTGTTCTTAATTTTCCTTTCTTTTCAACCTCGGTATTCACATTTTTAATTTTCTTAAAATTTCTCTATTGTGAAGGCATTCAAAGTTTATGCTTCCTGAAGAAACTTTGGATGCAGGAGATATTCTAGGGGTGTTTCCTTGTCTTATTACCCAAAGATATTGACACAACAGGTCATTCCATGGTCCAAAGCTCAATTTTAAACAAGTATATGAATGCTTGCTCCCTGGAACAACTTCTGATTTCCTTATATAAAATTTCTATATTTTTCCAAGCATGAGAATGTCCAGTGTTACCACATTCTCTTTCTCTCTCTGATTTTACTCCCACTGGATTTTCTTTCTTTCCTTTATTACTTACTATGGAAATATGACGTAGCATCTAGATAGGCCTCTGTTAATTCCATGATAACTAGAGATCTGAGCTATTTCCCTAAAATCACAAGCAAAACATGTATTTCCCTGGTTTTGCTGTTTGTGCTGCATATGAACAAGAAGAAAAGATAAGAGAGTTCTTTCTTTCTTTTTAAATTATTTATTTATTTATTTAATTTATTTATTTATGCCACTCTGCATATATGTCTGCATGCCAGAGGAGAGCTTCAGATTTCATTACAGATGGTTGTGAGACTCCAAGTGGTTGCTGGGAATTGAACTCAGGACCTTGGAAAAGCAACCAGTGCTTGAGTTCTTTCTTAATTCTTACTTTTCTCTTTCTTTTTTTTTTATTCTAAATTTCAGGCTATGGGAAAGCCTTCATAGCAGCATACTGCTGAGAGATGTTTCAATCTCATTTTGTACCACTGTGGAGGCCTATATCACTGTAACTCGATGGTTATTATGGGAAACATTCTTCATGAATACAGGTTTCAAGTTCTGATATTTTATTAAGCTGGTGATGGTTGTACATATTATTAATAATTGAACTATAAAATAAAAGAAAAGTTGGCTTTGGTATTTCTAACCATCAATACCTTGACCAAAAATCATATCAATCTCATTTTATATTTATTATATTTTTAGAAAGTTTTGAGGCTTTTTTATTGTTGTTGTTTTGCTTTTTTTTTTTTTTTTGAGACCAAGTTTCTCTATAGCTTTGGAGCCTGTCCTGGAAATAGCTCTTGTATATCAAGGTGACCTCACTCTCACAGAGATCCGCCTAACTCTGCCTCCTGAGTGCACCACCACAGCCCAGCTGAAAGTTTGAGGTTTTTTTTTGATGACCCTTGTTTGCTGATGGTCAAGTCCATGACTCCAAGGAATCTACATTAGCCCTGAAAAATTTACCACCCTCTTTATTTAGTACTTAGTACACTGAAATACAAACTAGTACTCTAATAAAACAGCTATTTCTGTTTTATACTAGAAACTACAAAATATTATAAGTAAGACATACTGAAAAATAAACTTCAAAAATATTTTTCTATAAAATGTGGAAATATCTTATCTAATGTAGGTGTTTAGTCATACATGTAAAAGCAGCTTCTTATTTACCTTCACATAATGGAATATCATTGACCCACCCGTCTGCATCACATTCACGGTAATCAATCTCACCTAACAGCTGATACCTAAAAACAGAAACAAAAAAAAATGTGTTGAGACATCATGTACTTTTATGTACTTTTAAGCACTTGACTGTTACAGTTGTCCTCCAGTAAGAACTTTTTAAGGAAAAAAATCTTTTTCTTGTATTATTTTCATCTTGTTCCTAATTCTTAATAGAAAGAAAACACTTAAGCAGAATACATTAGTCAAGGAGCTTGGATTTAGGGTTTACTTAATGCTTGCTGTAGAGGAGATGTAATAATTGACTATAAATGTGATACTCTAGCTCCCTTATGTGTCTTCTTCTGACAGCAAAACAAAGTTCCTAGTAAAGGCTTTCTATTCACAGCAGAGCCACCCCATTATGTTATGCTCCTTCAGACATTCTGCAAAATTCTACACAAAACTTTCCTGGACCTATGTTCATGGAGGGAGGGGAGAGGAGATAATGGTTGACCATATAGATCCATACAGAAAAAAAAACTTTTTGTGATGTCATCTCAAAATCACCTACATGAAGAACAATAAAATGATTGTTCATAAGGAATCATTCTGCTGAATAATATGTAACTAAACCTACACCTAACAGAGAAAATGAAGACAGACATATAGGACTCAAAAGGCTGAGCAATAAACAGGGATGCAATAAACCTGCTCCATTCTTAGTTTTCAGTTCTAGGTTAAAAAAATAGACAAAGTATTCTCCCATAAAAATTTAAATTAATGTGAACTACTTTACCTACTGATCTTACATGGTGTGAAAACTTTCATTGATAAGTGTCAGTAACTTGACCAACAGATTTTGGTTGGTGATTGAAGCTCAATATACAAAGTTACTGACATAACAAGGTTCTATCAGTGTTTGCTCTTGATATAGACAAGCTGAAAGAGGCAATAATGAGCTCAAGAGAGCCAGAGTCAGAGGAAAATATCCAGTTCATTTCTTCAACAAATTGTAAATATAAGTTCTGAGACTGTGGAAATCAAATGAAGAAAACATATGAGTTTTGATTCCCATTTTCAACACAAGTGTGAAACCCAAATAAGGGAGGCTAGCCTGGGTTGTAATATCTCAAAGGTGAACAGTGGAACAGCCTGAAAAACTCAAGCCAAGGCGATTCTTGTTGGCTTTGTGCAATAAGGTGAGAGGTGATGAATGAGAATTGGCATAAAAATGAGTTTGAAAAATCTCCTCAGGTCATGGGCAAGGAGAAGATAAATAAGAAATGATTATCTGATAAGTACTTTCAGTACATCAGAATTTTTTTAAGGGTTTGTAATGTAGGTCATATTTATATCCCCTGCCTATGCCATGATGCTGATGAGAAGTTTCCACTTTTGTCAGATAGGGATAGGAATGAGTTAATAGTTTATGAACATTGAGTATTTCAGTTTGGGAATGTTTTAGAGCTAATTATAAATCTGAAAACTTTAAACTGTTAATAGTTCATTTCTTTAAGTTAGGAAATAAAGGATGGACAATGAAAAAATTCCATTCACAATGTTTAATTTTATTTATACTTATTTTTCATAATGCTATAGAGTTCTTAATTTTCCCATATGGACTCTTAAAATAATCTGTAGCATTAGAGAAAAATTATAGAAGACTCAGTAATGATTTCAGCCTTGATACCCAGTAGATGGTCAGAGGGTAGAGTCAAAGATTCTGGAAAAAATAGCCTTTGGGTCCCATAAATAAAAGTAATTTGCATACTACTAAGCTTTAAAATAGCGCTCAGGAGAGAGACATTTTACTCACAAGTAAGTCTAGCTTTCTTGGTCTGTTTGTGGGGCCCAGCAATACGACCAGGATCTATCCTGTTGCAGGAGCTGGCTTTTTGGAAGCTACTCGCTATGGTGGGTGCTTCACTCAGCCTTGATGCTGGGGTGGGGGCAGCTTGGTCCTGCCTCAACTTAACATGCCGTGCTTTGTTGACTTTCATGGGAGGCCTTACCTTTCATGAGGAGTGGAGGAGGCTAGAGAGAAGGTGCATGAGGAAACTTAGTAGAGGAGGGAGTGGAAACTGTGGCTGGTATGTAAAAATAAATAATTTAATAAAAAAGGTAAAATAAAAAAGTCTTGCTTTCTTTAAATAATGTAAAATCTTTTGAAGAGGATTATCATATAACATAGTTGTTTTCAGAATTCCTATTGCCCCACTATATAAAAATTTCCCATTTCACATAATATTGTTCAAATAATGGAATTTAGTATGGTATTGTCAGCTGAACACTTTTGTATGTACTGACTTAACACTCCCTTATTTCAACACTATGCCAGAATAATCATAACTCACCTAACTTTTTAATGCTATGAAGATAGTATGGCATTCAAATAAAATTACACACGTCATAGCTTTATGTATGTTATTCTTTAAATGTTGATAGAAAAAATTAGTCTCATTAAAGCACAACCTTGTAGACTTTCTACTTGCAATTTCAATGACAAGCCTTAATTATTGACAACATACCCCTCATTGCAGGTATAAACAACCTTTGCACCAAACTCAAATCCAGTTCCAACTTCCAGCCTAAAGGACCCAAAGGGTGTGTCTCCAGGATGCCCACATGGCTTTTCTAAAATTAAAATAAAGATTCAGTATTAGAATACAGTCCATTGAACACACCTTATCTAGGAGTTGGAGGGGGGCTCATTTGAATATTATTGAATAGAAGGAAACTTAAAACAGCAAAGAGTATTTTTAATTTGAAGTTAACTGCCGACTTCCATTTTTAATTTTGGAGGATTACTACATTTTAAAATGACTTTTCTATATTTTAGTTACAGTAGGGATATAATTTTATAGTGTTACAACACAAAACATGTCGTCCATTCTAAAATAAAATTTGTCTTAAGGTTCTCATACATGGAGTACTTACTCCGACATTTCCTGGATTGGTTTAAAGCCGCCCATTTTCCTCGTCTGCATACTCTAACAATGGTCCCAAGTGTTCTGTATCCAGGGCGGCATTTGTAGGTAGCCTCAGTGTTTTCTGGATATGATTGTTCAGACCAAGAACCTGTTAGAATTTCTGTATTTTCTTTTGGTGGAGGACCTTTACAATCTACAATACAAACAAACCAATATTTGAAATATCTATTTACATAGATATAACAAACCTTAAATATAAAAGCAAATGGTGTTGTCAACAAAGACAATTTTTAAAAGCTTCACATTTGGGGGAAAGTAGAATATTAAGAACTGCTAGTGAAACACAAGGCTCACAGAGAGTGGTCTTACTGGTATGTTTTGATGTATGTCCTCTGCATATATGCTATGGGTGTGTATTTTGGTGTTAGCAGGAATTGGGGATATCTCTGAATACTTTGCCTGTGCTTGGGACCCTTTTCCTTCTACTGGGTCCCCTTGTCCTATCTTGATATGAGTGAGGGACTGTGTCTAGTCTTATTGTAAATTGTTATGCCATGTTCAGTTGATATCCTTGGTAAACCTGCTGGTGTTTTTTTGGGGGTGGGGTGGGGAGCTGGAGGTATAGATCTAGGGGAGAGGGAAGCTGTGAGGAATGAGGAGGGGAGGGCTGGGTGGAATGGACCTAGAGGAAACTGCAGTCAAGATTTAATGTATGTAAAGAATATTTTTTTTTAAAAAAGAAAAGAATGGCTAACATGACAAAAGTTGGAGCAATCACAAGAAAGGGGACCAAAGCCACAACTCAGACTGAAGCTGAAAACGTGTGCTCTGTCTTAGTCAATGAGGACTGCTAGGACAAAAAGTCAACAGGTTGGGAAGCTTAAACACAATGTATTCCTAACAAGGGATGTTCTTTGTTCCCAAAAGGTAGGGGGTGGGAGTTGGGGTGGGAGAACAGAGAGGCAAATAATAATGGAATGAGACAGATTTTGACGCATTTTCTCTCTCTTATTTCTTTTTTAGGACTCTATTCTCATAACCTCAACTAAACTTAATTACATTCCCAAGACCCATCTCTGCTTCAATATATTGGTTTGGAGACAGAATAAATACAATGTCCACATTAAGTCAGCAATTATATCACTGAAAGTACATCCAAGAGATGCATGTGCAGGTGACCTCAATTTCATTTGTGGTAAAGATGGTGACAATGTGGCTTATTATATTCAGAATTAGAAAGTACAACCTAAGCAGTTGAATTAATAAATATTGACAGGCATGTGGTAAATATTACATCAACATAAAACATATTCAGATAATGGATGTAAAACCATAATGTTGTATCAGATATTCTAGGATTATTAATATCACCATAAAGTCTAAGAACAACATTGTATGTATCATGCAGTCATACACAGGCTGTGAAACAATGAAGATCAAAAGTGTAAGTATAGCTTTGAGGATAACTTGTTCTATTTGAAAGAGATAAGTGGGGATCTTCTGAGGTGCTGCGAATTCTCTGTGTCTTGATGTGATTAAATAGTAATTAGTAATATACCATATTCATAGTTTATTCATTAAACTATGTGTATGTTACATAACATGTGTATATTAAATATAATATAAACGTGTGTATTATATAATTTAAACTTAAAATTAACAAAATATCTGGGTGTTCTATTACATTTACTTTTCAATAGATTAACTAAGGATAGTATATTGAAAGTGGGAAAAAATTAATATCTAAGTTTGTACCTCTTGTTTGCATTTATTTATTTTTCATTATCATCTTCTGGTTAAGGGCATGGAGATTTAAACAGCTAATATCTTTTCCAAGGTATCCGAAAGTGGCAGAACACAAAGTGAACATAAGTTTTGCAAAACAGGGAAGCTTATGTTTTTTTAACCATTTCTTATGATTTGGGGTTGGGAAGTAAATTCGAGGTGTCGTGCTTTATTATTGAGTTTTATAGGAGAAACATTTTTGTTTATGTTTCTAACAGAAAAGTTCGAAAATATAGGAAAAGTTTGAATTTACAGTGAAAATAAGTGCCCATGTTTAATATTTTACTGCAATAGTTGTGCATACATCCTTCTATGTACTAATCCTTTTGCCTATTTATTATTTTCCCAAGAGCTGGAATTATAGCTATGGAATGTTAGTGCTATGGAATAGAATTGTTTTTAATGATGCCTGCTGATTAATTTTATAATAAATACCCTGATGTTTAAATGTCTGTGTTAGTAAACCCAAAATGTTGGTTCCTATGGCAGATTACAGTACTTTTTATCTAATATATATATATATATATATATATATATTTAATATATATAATTATTACTTTAATTTCTATATTCATTTTACTTCTGATTTACTGATTTTCAATTTACCACTCTGTTCTAAACTTCATCTTTTACAGACAAAAGAATTACCTGAGGCAAGTTCCACCTAGAACTTATCTATAGGACGTCATTATACAACATGTGATGAAATAAGAGACCGCTGGAGCTTATAGAAACACTTGTTTAGGTTGTCGGATACACATATTTTCTTTGAGTATATTCCTAATGTTTAGAACATCTATCTTAGTGAACTTGTGTAATAAATTACAGTACATTAATTTTTTATCATTTCAGTAACTAAGCTTCTGTACACTAGATGGCGCACCACCACTACTGCAGCAAAATCTGGTGCTTCAAAATGTGAGCTTTGTTTAGGACTGTACTCCATTTTTTTTTTTATTGGAAAAAATGTGTAGCCCCAGCTGGCCTCGAACTCGTGATCCTCCTGCCTCTGCCTCCTTTAGCAAATCTTACTGGCATTTGGGTATATATCCAAAGGATGCTTAAGACCCAGTAATACAACTTTTGGGTATATATCCATAGGATGCTCAATTATGCCACAAGGACATGTACTCAACTGTGTTCACAGCAGCTTTGTTTGACATAGCCAGAACCTGGAAACAACCTAAATGCCCCTCGACTGAAGAATGGATAAGAAAAATATGGTACGTTTACACAATGGACTACTACACAGCAGAAAAAAAAAATAACGACAGCTTGAAATTTGCAGAAAATAATGGATGGAGCTAGAAAATATTATTTTGAGTGAGGTAACCCAGACCCAGAAAGAAAATTATCACATGTACTCACCCATAGGTGGTTTTTAAACATAAAGCAAAGAAAACCAGCCTACAAACCACAATCCCAGAGAACATAGACAACAATGAGGACACTAAAAGAGACTTACGTAGATCTAATCTACATGGGAAGTAGAAAAAGACAAGATCCCCTGAGTCAATTGGGAGCATGGGGACCTTGGGGGAGGGTTGAAGAGGGAGGGGAGCAGAGAAAACACATTCAGGGGGATGACTCATCTCAAAACCCCCCCCGAGAAGGGGCAAAACTTCTGCTTCTAGCTCCTGGTGAATGTGTGGACTCACCTTTCTTGTGCCTACATATTTATTCAGGTTCTGACAAAAAAAAAAAAAAAAAGCCTGATCCTAGTGTAGGAAGTAACACAGTTGACAGTTAATGTTGTTTTCTAAAACTGTCTGTGTTGATTTTATTTTTACTTGTCTGAATTTGTCAATTTCAAATATTTTTCAGAAAAGTAATGAGTGTTCATAGGTTTGACTATCTGAAAACAGGAGTCTGTCTACTTTAACTTGAGGGAGATAATTTTATAATTTTTGAAATTTAAAAGCAAACATCTGCTATTTTAGCAAACATGATTTGACATTTTTATATTCAAATTTAAAGAGCTAGTATTCACACACAAACCAGATACTGTTTTTTATTTCTAATGCCAATATTTCTCTTAATGATTATTTGAAATGCTTATGCAGAAATGAAATAAATCTTAATGAATTTTTATATTTTATAAAATGTATCACTTGTACCCATAATTTTGGTAGATTAAAGTAAGAGGAAGCCTCTTCATTCATTTACTATAGCTCCTAAAAGCTTATTCAAAAAGAATAGGTGGTATCACTTTAAAACTATTTTCTCTTAACAGATGGTAGAATATACTATAATTGAAAAACTAAAGTTCTTTAGAAAAAAAATAAAGTAAATGAATAAAATGGAAATATCAAAAATAGATATTTTATTAAAGTTCCCATCTGCCTCCTTATTGATATAAATTCATACTAATTTTATGCATATGTGTTAATGAGAGAGTTTTTGTTAATTAAAATTATTCAGAGTGATTTATAAATAGTGCAAGAATATAAAGTTTGTAATTTTTTGAACAAAGAAATATCAGCTATAATAAACTAGCTTAAAAAGAAACTACAAAAATTTAAGTTCAAATGACACTAACAAACTTTTAAAAAAATAAATTTCAATTTCTAATGTATACAGGAGTGACTATGTAGTTTATTTGTAAAAATGTTAACTTTGAGGACAGAATAGATCGTTAAGGCTACGTGGTGAATCCTTGAAGAAATCAGCAGAATCTGCTGACTTTTATGTCATCATGAGGAGGGGGCTTGAAATCCATTCAGTCAACACTTCTGAATGGGCACTGCTTGGACTGCAGTCTCCTAACAGCAAGTATGGTTCCAAGCACATTGTTGTCTTTTTGTAATAAACTATTAGTATGTATTGAATGTTTTTTCTGTAGGCTTGAATGGTTGCCTCAAAAAGTAGCTTAGCTGCAGGATGAAGCGAACAAATCTTGAAATTCAGGCAGCACCAATGCTGAGTGTTTTCTGTGGGATCCTGAGGATAAGAATTAAAGCGAAAGGGAAAACAACTCCTTTTGAAATCCTACCCCTAATTCTTGCAGAAGTTAAGGCAGCTTTACTTGGATGTGTGGAGATGAGTTCCAGTTTTACACAGCTTCTTTATTTCTTTCTGTATAACTGATGCTGTCCCCAACCATTAGCCTCCCTTTTGCCATTGTCGGACGAACTTCTATACAGTGTTCAAAACCTGCCTGCATGAGGCTCCATGCCTGTGATCTCAGCACGTTGGAGAAGGGAGATTGTGATTTGAGGCCAGTTTGTACTATTTAGTCTGACTCTGTTTCAGAGAAACAACATAAAACGAAAGCAGCAAAAATATCTCTAGACAAATGTCATCTGTCATCCTCTCCCCCTCCTGACCCACTCTAATTATTTATTTTTAATTTTACTTTTAAATTAATATGCAAAGGGTTGTATTTTAATTTTGTTCCCCAACCCTATC